GAATTTTCAGTACGCTGGTGTCGGGATCATGAGCGATGACTGTCCACGATCGGAGAGGCTGCTCTTGATGGAGTGGAGCTGCAGGCTGGGAGTGCCGCGTTTTCTGTGGTTATTGGGTTCTTGCAGCAGTACCCCGCAGCAAGGTCAACCATTGTGGTTGATCTGTCGGTAGACTTCGCTGTTTGTCCCCGCACAGCTGGCTCAATTCAGCTCAGAACTTGTGAACTGGGTGTGAAGTTCACCTCTGCGCCTTTGTCGTCCGCTAGGGAAATAAACGATGATAATTTCACATACGCTGGATGGGGTGTCCACGCGAGGATTGTCGTCCCACGAGCATCACCTTCCCCAGTAGTATATTGTTCTGGGATGCTTGGGTAGGACCTGATATTCGGAGTCGTGACTGATTGCGTGGGCGTTCTTTTAGAAGGTACAGGCGTTTACACCTATCTTCAGGTTTGTCGTAAGTTTTTCGTAGTTGGTCGAACTGTTCCCAAACGAAAGTCTGTTACGCCCCACCCCCTAGGACTGTTTTGGCCAAGTTTTCGCGCCTCTAGAGAGTGGTCCTTGGAAATACGCTTGATCCTGACAGACCGCGCCGAAAACCCCTGTACGGCAGTTAGCGAGGAAAGGGTCATCCGAAGCCTAGATATTCATTTGCTTCCCTTTTGGCGTAACCACTGTGCGTGGAGCGATACATTTTTGGGCTTTGTGACGAACCTACCAAGGATCGACTGTGCCAATTTTGTTGACATGCTTGTTCTGGTGATCAAAACGGAACATGCCTACTGGTCTTTCCCACTCAGGAGTAGACACTTGTTTTCGTTTTTGCTGTCATGTTTATTGTGGAACGCATCGCAACCCTAAGGTAGAGACAGCTGGCGCAAACAAACGGGTCGGGAGAGTTAGATAATGGGCTTATCTGGTGGTCCTGCCAACGCGTACATGTGATATGCCATCAGGCCTGGCAGGCGTGACACTGCACTCCACGCGTAACATTCGGTGGACAGCCATTTCATCCACAACTGTTGTGGACAGCTGTAGAGGAGGGCAGCTTGCAAAAACCTGGCTTATGATTCTATGTGGGCGCATCGCAGAGATGGAGTGCAGTCTGACAGGTTTTACTCAGATAATGTTAGAATGAAAAACTCAATATAGATAGATTAAACAGCGAAAGAATTCTTCGACGAATTCGCACGAGCAAAAAAAGAAACCAATTTGGGAAGTACTGCGTGCACGTACCGCCCACGAATTTTTGCGCATCCAGTCAAGGTGTTCGGCGAGATGGATCAGTGGCTAGAGCGCGAATTTACTGACCGGAAGGTCTATGGTTGCAATCCGACCTCTTTTCAACTTCCCCTGTGTAGACTTGGATGACGTGGCAGTATCCCGGCTCTCGTGCCCCCTTCTGGTGGCATCGCAGTTAGGCGCCGAAAGGATGTTACAGCTGAACGATTTTTTGTGATGGAAATCTGTTCGAAAGTCAGTGAGTGGGTAGCAAACGCCACAGAGGCAGATTGAGTGGTGTGCGTTGAAAAAACCTGGAGAGGCTGTTTAAATCTCCTTTGTAAGATTACGCTCGGGGACGAATCGGGTTACGATATCTGCATGGACTGCATCATGGCTATTTTATTGGTATCTGCTTTCGTGGAAATGCATCGAGAAGATCGTGGGGACCGAACCCCTAAGTTTTGCGTTAGCTGTCTCTCCACAAGAGGCAGGGTTTTAGCCACTGACCACTGTCTCGACTACGCGTTCATTATCGGTACCGTAAGTGGACACTGTGCCGAGCTTATGTTCTTGTTGGACAAGCCGAGTCTAAGTTGATGTGTGACGGCTATTTTCATTGAACTATGTGATTGCAAGAGCACCCTGGATCTCCTGACACTCGTTGCATGATAGGTCGTCCAAACTAGAGGTCAAAACTGCCATCCCTTACTATCACTTGATTTTTTTTTACCGTAATCATATTTGTGCGGGCAGCACGCACTTCACTAAACTATGCTTCCGTTCCCCTTGTGATCAGGTGTTCTGCTGTTCAATGTACAGCGTTACCTCAAAGCTACCGGTTCGTGTACATTAAGGAAAGACAAGGCTCTGCCAGAACACGATGCGGACTGTCGAATCACTTGCACGGATCCAGTGCATTGGGTCGCCTTCAACAGTGGCGGTCTGGTTTTGGCTGTTGTTACATCCAACGAAGTACAAGGCACTTTTGTCCATTTAGTCGATCTCGTGGAGCTTTTACGGGTTGGTTCTTGTTTAGACTGGTTTGACTACCTTAAAATCTCTTGTGTATACTTGAATGCCATGCTGTCGTTTTTTATAGGTTGGCTCCACGCAACTTTCTTCAATCAGTCGTTCAGTTCGAGTCTGTGGTGGAGAGCCCTCAACCGCAACGGGACAGCCGGGTTGGGAGATTAGAGATTTTGCCTGGAGTCCAGCATCACCGGATACATTTGTACTTATCCTCAAGTGCGGGGTTGTTCGATTAATATCCGCATCACCTGACAGGTCGTCTGAGTCAGTAACAGTAATTGGTCATTTACAGTGCGATGTGGACGCCCAGTGTCGTGAGTCCTCGAGGTTTCCATGTTGCCCGTGTCACTTATGCATGCATGCTAGGGGTTGCTCTCATAGCCTGTCGTTCGGCCACTGCGCTGACTTGCACCCAATTCACTGATATCATCCACCAACGTTTCAAATGGTTCATAATGCATGTCCTTAAGCCTCAAAGTTTTCAGCTGCATTCAAAAACCGTCACCCTTCTTTGACTGCTTTTTCGCTCCATTACTGCTTACTGCCTATGTTTATGGCTTGCTCCTCTAAAACCAGGGATTACTTAATACATGGCTATCATGAATTTTATAATAAGTACCCCGACTATATCCAGGGGGGGGGGGAGATGGCCCAAGTGGTTAGAGCGCGAATTTACTGACCGGAAGGTCCGTGGTTCGAATCCGACCTCCGCCACTCGACTTCCCCTGTCTAGGCTTGGGCAACCTGGCAGTATCCCAGCCCTCGTGCTTCCTTCGGGTGGCATGGCAGCTAGGCACCGGAAGGGTGCTACAGCTGAACGCTTTCTTTTCTTTTCTATATCCAAGGGGACGAAGACTGAATTCCAAGGTTGCGCTTACGTAGTTTGCTTGCATGGGGAATCCTGCCATCGGGCACGTAATGCCGGATTGCTGACAAGCAATTATTCGTACCGCTATGTCCCCCTGTTTAGTTGGTGCTCAATGCAAGTGAACGATTTACCATTGAGTAAAATCCTGATATTGACAGCTGGAACTCTGTCGTAACCCATATTATTTGGCTGAAACGCCCGCCCAATACGAATTTATTGAAAATGAAACACCATAGTCAGCACTTCAGACACCGGCCTCTCGTTTACAGTTCTCATGCTCGAGATAGTGCGGGGGTCACTGCGCAGGCCCAGTACTAGAATGGCCACTACTGCAACCTTATCCCTAACTCCTCAATGTTTCTCGTATCCCCCTGGACAGCCTGGCGGCAACTCGGTTGGTATATGTGATTGCATTCGTGACCCCGGGATGAAGTCATGTAGTTTCCAATGTTTCATGGCGTTTCTGCTTATATGTGAATTTTATCGCGTGCCGTCCGCCTATGTGGACGCCGCATTGGCTGTGATTTGTTGTTTAACTACTTACGGTGAACCAAATTCATTTATCCATTTTGGTTTTTCTGTTTGTATCCAAGTTTCATGGAGTGGAAAAGGCAAGCAGTTGGCAGTTTGTCTGAATGGTATTCTTCCAACTGCTAACGGCACTGTCCAAGGCCCGCTCATTCTTCAAACAGACCCGCAGCTTCGACTCAAGCGCACAGTAGCTCTAGATTCTGTGCTGCCGCAGTTTTCAGGTGGGTTTAGCAGGTCATCTGACTCCTATTATTAATGGTTCCGTGCGCCCTGCTCATTCCGCTTTTTATATTTCTCTTTGCATTTGACGCTTAGATGCAGGTACAACTCCTCAGCCTTTGGATTTACTCTGGATTTCTCCTTCCTGCTTCATTCTTGGTCTACAGTGTGGTTCCAGTTTGCGAGCGGTCCTGGTCAGTGCTCCAGTAAGTTGCTCCTTAGTTGTGCTTTCGAAGCAAACTGTTTGTGGAGCGGTTAACTGCGTCTTTCTCCTTATTCCCCCCCCCCCAGACCAAATCAACCGTGGTCACCCATACTGAATTGGTCGAACTATGTGGCATTACAACCTCTCCCCATCGCCAGTATTACTTCCGCGCTGTGAACAGTCACTACTTTTTGGCGACTCATTCAGCGGGTGAAGAAGTCTTGCTGTACCACCTACCAGCTCAGTCTAGCACTGTCGTGTCTGGAGAAGAACCACCACCACCACCCACCGGTTTACTCAGTATTGAACTCCCTCCAGATGGTTCCCCGATCGGTTTGAGTTTGGGCTTCCACTGCGAGGTTTGTGGTCAATTGAGCAGTTTTTCATCTACCTTTCCTTTCCATCATTGACCTTATGTTTGGAAGGGTAAATATAGAGGCATTTTGTCTTTCAAACCAACACTCGGCAGTTTGTGGACCATTTCAACATACGATGTGTTTCTTTGTGAATACTCCAAGCGGTCGTTGGTTGGACGCTTGTTTAAGTGCGAGCCGGCTAAGATAGTTGAGTTATTGACAACCAACTCCCTATGAGGAATATGTGCTTATGCGAAGAGGGCCGATCACCAACACGTATTAAGTCAGTGTAGCACGGTCCTGCATGTCCTGAACGGGGATATATTTTTCTCGGCAGTGACAACATCTAAATTGTAACGTCTTACCAGTTTCTGAAGGTCTATAGACGATTCTAAAGCTTGGAGTTCCTTATTTTCAACAACGTCGTTACTGTGAATGATGCTTATTGAGTCGCACTTCGGCTCCTTGACTAAGAGGTCTTTTTTGTTTCGCTTCTCCCATGCATTTCGGTAATAGTGCGTCATCAGACTGAAAGAACCGCTTTGTACCAACATCGCGCAGGTGTTGACGCTGAATTGTAGTCATTAACGTTTTTTCTGATTTCGATCCAACGATTTTTGTCTGTGGAACCACTAAGGCTTCTATTAAGGTGAAACGCATGGAACAGTTCTACCAAGCACATTAGGCTTTATTATCAGCACCTTTTGTCGCTTTCCTGTACTTCGTATAACTTATCTTCAGTCCGGTAGGCCACAGCCATATGCCATCGTGAGACTTACGAACGGGAACCTTAGTCCGTTTTTGCTTCATATACCCACCATATTGGAATCTCTGCAACCCACCTTACCCAAGCCGATTCACTTGCCCGCGCCACCACCAACAGTATGTGCCCCGGTCAACCTCTGCGTTTCAAAGCCCGATAGTTCAGATGGAATATTACTTCGAGATTCCGCCTCTCCCTTATCCGTACCAACTGCAACTACTCCTTTGCTGCCTCCTATCACGAATGGATTATTCTTGGGCCTCATACCACAAACCGGTAGGTCCAAATTACATCCTTCCTCGCCATTCCGTTTTCGCGTCTGGATGCAACTCAGAGGTAAATTCGGTCGAATAACAATTTACTCAATTTAGTACATTGGCCTCATTTCGCCGCTTACATTGTCACCACTAACAATTATTCAGAAATACAGGACCCTCCCATTATAATAGTCCATATGTAGTGGAAACATCGGATCAGTAATCCTGAAGTACATCGAATTTTTTTTCGAAAGAGAACTTGCTCACGGTAGATGAACTGGTCACACTCCATAGGTTATGCTGGGTCGGGCACTTGCTCCATATGCCAGTCTGCCGGCGTCCTCGAAGGGTTCTTTTCGCGTAACCACGCGAATAGTGAAAAGGAGCCAGGGGAAGTCCAGCAATAAATTGGGAGCGAAGTATGAAAGCCAGTACCAGCAAACTTAGCTGCGCTGGTCACTGCCATCTCCTTGGATGGGGACCCCGAGACGAGACACATCAATGGTTGCGGACATTGTCACACAGCCCAGTAGCAGTCCCAATGGAGCATATGCATCCAAGCTGTTGACTTCAGTGCATAGCTCCCCTCTCAATCTCCTAAATGAAAAGTCCGCTGAAAACCCTGTATTTGCGTATCAATTACGTCAGCTGCCGTATCCAATGCACAGCTACCTGCCTCACCTACCCAAATCGGCGAACGGAACTGTGTTAGATAGGACCATTGTACGGCAATTACACGGTGTTTTACAACTGGTGTGTAATGGGTTCGACATAACTGTCATGCAGTATCTCTCATATAGAAGTATCTGTATCCTCATCAGTCTAGTTTGAGAAGTCCTCCCGTTCCTAGACGATGTTCATAGTCAGTCCACATCACAATGTTGGACTCGAGTTTCACTTTTATTTTAGCCCAGGAGTAGTGCAACTCCTTTGTCACCTCAGATTTTGAACTGCAGACATCTAACTTGCCAGACGAGCATGTTACCACCACTTGTTCACCTGTGCACCCACGCGTATGAATTGTGACTTCTGAACGTGTTCACACTTGAGTACATGGTCGTTGGTTTGCTCGCTGAGCTAGGCAATTTGATTGCATCAGGGCAGCTTTCACTTTGCGGTGATTTTATGCCAGGTTTATTCAAGCAGCATTGCTGTAACCCCTGGATTTGTTCCCCTTGGATTCCATCGCCTGATGACCCAGAATCATTCATTTGGATGAGACTGCCCAAGTGGTTAGAGCACGAATTTGCTGACCGGAAGGTCCGTTATTCGAATCCTACCTCTGCCTCTCGACTTTTCCTGTCTAGACTTGGGCAACCTGGCATTATCCCAGCCCTCGTGCTTCCTTGAAATGGCATGGCAGTTAGGCACGGAAAGGGTGCTACAGCTGAACGAACGACTTCATTTTCATCTGTTAAAATGGGAGTTGTGTTGCGAAACGTGGGTCGTCCAATAAGTTCATCATTTGTTTTTTTTACTAGACTTCTTTGGATGCTCACGTAGCTGCTCAGTATCCCGTATCTTCTGTATGTCTTGCGAGTGTGGGCATTTGGCGGCTCATCACTAGAACCACGCAAACGTTTTCATTTAGTTCCAGCATATTGCTTTCCGAATCTACTGTAACCCCGTAAGTTGGAAAGTCATGCAGATTCTTAGTCACAGATGCGTGGACTTGTTTCTACACAAATTGACTACAATCATTCGGTCTTTGTCAAGAAATACAGCATAAAAGTTCACGGAATTCGAGAATGGTTCTACTTTATCAGATTGGTATCTTCAGCTATGCTCTCCGATAGATGTCGGTCTGTTGTATCGATGTAGATCTCTCTACAATCGCCAGCGAATTCCTAGATGTTGAGGTAAGCGAGTCCGGTCAATTAGGCTGGCGCAGTCGCAAGGCACCTATAATGGCAGTTCAAATTAAGCACTATAGACTCGGCGTAAGCCGAGTTAGGCTTGTGCCTGATACCACTGGCTGAATCTTAAGAGATTCCCCCATTTGATGAATTAGCGCATCAACCGTCTTTGTGTTGGCATTAGGCGTCATATATGTAGCCATGGAGTCCGGCATTTACTTACCATCTACTTCCCTTTTTTAGTTAGATACATCTGGATCTCAACCTCACTGTGTACTTTCTTCCATCCTGATGACTCAGTATTTTTATTTTATTAACAGCTACAGCCAGTGAGGTGTCCGAGTATCATTTCGCTGACTTCATCAAAGGGCTGGCTTGGAATCCACTGCCGTATATTTCCTATTACTCATGTGTCGTCTATCAGATGGATGATTTGGCGTGATCTCGACTTATGCAGGGCTTGGGCCTACACACACCCATTTTATGTACTTTAAGCCTGCTTATTGATGTTAGTTGCCCTGCTTGCAGTTGCAATGTGGCGTTGTCCCATTACTATTATTTCTCAGGTCAACATTCGTCTACTATTAAAGCGCCAACTCAGACCCCTTCGAAAGATATCTCAACTCACACTTCACAATCAGTCACTTCACCGTTTGCGGACAGGACACGACCTCCTTATTCGGAACGACATCCACAGGTCGCCGACACGAATGTTTTAGCCCGAACTCATTCAAGTCACCTGAAGTCATCATCCCAAGACCGGGTTGCACGTTTGCCGCACTCTGTGGAAATCGCAGCCATACAGTTCACCACAGCTTTGTTGGCTGAAGCTGAAGCTGGACGTGCTGCTTGGCGTGAATTGTTTGACTTAATGAAGCGTGGATCGCATGTCGAATCCAAACAAGAATCTTCTACTGGGGTTGACGTGATCGAAGCTCGACTGTACGACGTTAACGTGTTCATGAAAGCAATAGACGAGGTTGGTGTAATGTATTTCTCCTTATTATCCATACTATTACTAGTCGAGCCTTGCTATTTCGAATATCACCGCACCCGCGCCCCATTTTTTCAACTCGGTTTCACACGAATATAGTGGGTCACATTATTCTTGGACCACGCAGGATTCCTTGTTATGGTTACCGGGATGTCCCTAGCGTCTGACTTTCGAATAACCTCCGTATGGGATTTCCGTACTGAGCGGTTTCACCGTAGTTGTTATTTTTCGTAGCCATTACAACTTACTGCCACCTGAGGCCCTGAATGTAGCTATGCCACATCGACATCTGCCGTACTAAAAAAATGCCTACTGTCTCGCAGACGAGACACAAACGTTTTACTTATGACGTTTGGCAATTCAGCGTCAAATCTCCCATGTCAATCAATTGCTGCATAACCTTGTCTCAGTTATCTGTAGAAGGAGTCCCATTTTAATATTCTATTCAACTACACCATCGTCTCGAACCTGCATATCGGCATTACCTTGTCTGGGAGCTACGGCTCTATACTTACCCTCTACACCCCCGTCCGTGAGCTGATGTAAAATCATTCAAAATTTCCTAAGGGGCCACCGCGCTGTTGATGTCCACTGAAAACAGTCCATTCAAGGGGTATTCACCGCTTGAATCCACGTGGTGCTTGCCACCAGTCGCACCATGAAATTCATTTAGATTATCCGTCCTGTCGTACAAGTCAGCCCCTTATTGTACAGCGTTCAAGTCCCCAGATACAATCATAGGATTTTTGTTGTTTTCCCATCATCAGGGTGTCGTTCATGCGCCTCCAACCAAGATCCACGATGGGCAGTTTCCTAAGCACTACCTCCGGTGTAGACAAAAACTGCTGAATGGGTTCTGGGAGATATGCCGTAGCCATAGCATCTGTTTGAAGGTGTAGCATGCGAGAAAACTGAAATTGCACGTTTGTTGTGCTGTACACAATTTGTACGTCTTGTAGTTTTGGTAATATGATGTAATATCATTGACCAATTTGGCCTCAAACTACCAAAAGCAATATCGAACGTTCCGAACTAAGTTTGTGTTAACGGAAGACGTGACTGAATCTCTCCGTTATGATGTATTGGCTGTCTAAGAGTTTTCAGCAACCTTATGTGATGCAGGTGCCGAATTCTGTACAGAACAGGTTATAAACCAAACCTGTATGTGTGCGTGCAATGCCTGCTGTGCTGCCTGTCGGCACACACAGATCTGAAGCACATGATTCGGGCAACGTCACCACTCGCGCGCTGCGACGTAACACACGACTAAAGTTCTGTTGGTCGTTCGGCGTTGGTGAATCACACCCCCAAACGGGTCACACTGTCTTTTCAGGGCCAAACACATAGTTTGGTTTTCGGTCGACTACTTTGCTTAAAAAAAGCTTTTCATTCGATTTGGTTCAACTTGGTTGCCATTTTTAGACTTTTTGATGTCAGTTTTCAATACCTCACCAATGTGCCACTGACCTGGCACCACCTTCGTGGATAGGGACTCCAGGAATCAACTCACCAATGGTTGGCACCCGCAGAAGTGACTGATCGCACAGTCGGTGGCGCTCGTGCACCAAGACCATCGCCTTCAGCGCATAGCTACTTGGTTCGCGAACTAACTGAGCATGCCATCGCCTCCGATGCTTGGTTGTATGCCCCACACTCTCCCACTTTCCAGTGATCGAATTTTTATCAGCTGGAACATATGTAACCATGGTACACGGTTCATAGCTGATAAATTGAATTGAATGACTGATCCTATTTAATATTAGTTACTTCCCAGTTCCACGCTTTCGGGTATTCTATTGCGCATCCAAATTGTGTTCGTCAAAGCGGAAAGTTGCTCGTGAAATTGTTTTGTCCAATTTGTACCCCTTTTGTGACTTCCTCGCTTATCGTCACTTTGGGAAATCAGATGACGAGGGTTTGGACTGATATCGCGCATGGATATGCCCAAGTCACTATCATTTTGTTCCTGTTAACCGTGTTCCAGGTACTGAATGAAGTCCATACCAGTGCAAAAGATCGCAGACAGGAGTTTCTGAACGCACAAATCTATGCTGAGAAGGTCCGGCAGGCATTTCGTCTATGTGCTAGTGAAGCATTTATTCCCTCATTGACCAGCCAGCTCGATCCGGAGGCTTCTCGTTTATTGGAACGCTTGAAGCGTCGGTCGCACCTGGCTGAGACTAGCCTATTTGATTTGGAGGCTCAGCTGGAGGCTTTGTCAGCCGAAATAGAAAACTGTGTGGGAGCCAAGCGTTCTGTGGCAAAAATGTTCACAGAAGTTGACTCAGCAGAAGACAGGTAAGCCTAATTTTGCCGACAGGCAGAAAGGGTCTTGCCTTAGTGCAAACCATCCGATACTCCCGGCTATTCTGTCCGGATTGAATGAAAAACACTTGGAACGCGCTTCTGTTTATCATCAGTGCACTTTTTAGTCACCTTTTTTCACGCACCACTGGTGTTGTTTCCGTCAGCCGTATTGGATCTGAAACCTTTGGGTTTTGTTAGTAAAACAACACTTTTCCGACCAGATTTAAGGGTCAGTTCTCACCAACGTTTCCCGAATTTCACATATTCGGCTTCCCATTTTCCGAAGGATCTACTCGTGCGTGGCAGGTTATATGTATTCTTCCGAAACCATATCACGTTTCTGTTTGTGTTAGGGTTCACTTAGAAATATTGTCCATAAATTTACGTACTCTTCGTTCCAACCGATCTTTCTTACCCTGCAAACCATCATGCCTATAAACAGATCAATAAACAGAAAACCGATGATAATTAGCATGGAAGGTTTGGTTTCAAATCAGGAACAGCCACATTACTCAAAACCGATAGGCAGAATCCTTGAATTTATCCCATTCTCACATATTGTTGCCGTTGGTATCACTTGACTGCACACTTAAGTCTTTTTTAGTCAGTCAAGAGAGCATTCCAGTTTTCCCGAATAGGATATGAGCCACCACCTCCTATCACAACGTTGGTCGAGTTGCCAATTAAGCAGAAATAGTAATAATAATAATAGTAAGAATAATGACAATACTAATAATGACGTAACACCCTTTCGGTACGTAGCTGCCATGAAGCCCAAGGGCTGAGATGCTGTCAGGTTGCCTAAGTGGTTCGAAACATGGACCTTCTGGTTAGTAAGTTCTCACCTTAAGCATTGAGCTTTGCCGAGCACACTAATCCGACCTATGAAAAGGTATCGTGATGGCTTCGTGATGCTCACAACCGCCCTTTGAGTCCTTAACCTCGGAGCGCTACTACTGTGTCACTACGATCGGCTCCTTTTTGTCAGGATCTGTGTATCATGGGTACTAGTGAGTCATCAATCTTTTTGAGGGGCGCGAATACTTCTTTCAGCGATGCACACAAACTTGGATAAATTACTGAACGTCCTGGTTCTCTAACCTGAAGTTGATGTTCTGATCATGTATGATTTTAAGGCAGTTGAGAACCTTCATACTTCTCTCTTGAGAGGGTCATTTGCAGTTCGGTTCTGAAGCGTGATTTGAACCTACCGTCTTAATCCAGGTGATTCGGCTACAAAACGGTGTTGCTGACTTTCGCGTTTAAATCCGTAGCTAAGTGACGAAGTATTCCGGTCATCTACCCATGAGTTCCTGGTTCGTCTCCCATCCGATATGACTGAGTTTTCCTGTTGTTTTCTTGACAGCACACTACTCATAAGGCTACTGAGAACTATTCGTCAGCCTACCTGTGGTTTCTCCCCTCTCGGGACTCACTAGGTAGGCGCAGTCCCCGGGTCCATATCTACTCTACATTCTACCAGCTGTGGTTTTGTGCTTCCCTTCCATGTTCGTATCTTACTTCCTTCAGGACATTTCAATTTTGTACGTGGTTGGCCCAAAATTATCATCATCAGAGACAGTAACATCAGTGTTAACACTGATGCTTCACTGCCGTACAACCATAAGGTTCGTATATATATATATATATATATATATATATATATATATAT